TAAATGATTAATATCTACATGACTGATAACCTTTGAGCTCAGTTTGTCTCTCACTGTCTATTTCTTACTGATTTTAACAATCGAGAGAAATTCAGCTAAACACGGTCGTTCTCTCTGTGAGTGCAAATGCTGCCGAGTTTTTTTTAATTCTCTCAGCGTCTGCAGTATGTATATTTTGGCTTGTGGACACTGTCAGTGTGCAACTGTTTAGCAGAGAGAATGTTTATGGGGCGATGAATGGGTGTAATATGGCTGTGGAGCAGATTCAAAAGGGCTTAACTGGATTACACCTCATTTCAAGGATGCTTAAGGTAAGATTAAAACAGATATGTGGTAAGTGAGGAAAATACAAAATCAAATAGATGGAATTTCACTCAGTGGTCTCGTAAGCCACTTGCTCATGCATGGCTGTCCTGTTTCTATTTGTTAAAAAATCAGCAACATGAAAACGTGAGACGCAGCGTAGATTGTTATTGTTAAAAAAAAAAAAAGGACTCAGCAAAGGAAACACACGCAGCATTTCAAACAACAGTTTTGCTCCGTTGGACCGTCACAATTCACCATTAATGCCCTTTCTTATCTTATGCTACAAATCCCCAGAGCTGGAACATTAGAACTCTCTAATCACACACACTGGCACACGCTGAGTGTGTGTGTGTGTGTGTGTGTGTGCAGGCACTCTAGCTGCACTCACACACAAACACACAGGAAATCACACACACACCTCGCATACAATCTGAAAAGATAATGAATTTAATACCACTGCTATTACAGTCAACTAATGTTTGCTAATAGCCTGGTGCCATATGGAACGAGGGCCTCGACCATGTGGGTAATTCCTCTCTTTGGACAAGCTGTCAATAAAAATGGATGCATGGGATGGATGAGGGGGGGGGATGCGCCTAATCCAGCAGACTCTCTAATGATTCCTCTGTGCTGCGAATAGGAGCTGCAGGCCTCTGTCAATGTGCTTACAGCTGTTTTATCTTTCCCATCACAGCCCGAGTACGCATCCACATTCCACCGGGCATCAGTGCGGCCGGGCGCAGGACTGCTGGAGGGGGTAATGGAAGTAGTGGTTTTAGAGAGAAGACTTTATGACGTGCCTGATTACCTCCCCCCCCCTCCTCTTCTCACCCATCCACCTCCCCCAAATTCACTCCATCTTCCTCCCCACATCCCTCTGCCAGCACTGCAGCCCAGCGGATAACCAAGCTTGGATTAGCAGTGACATCACACTGAAGAGATGGCTGAGCCCCAGTGTGAGGAAGGGTGAGTACTTTGGTTTGTGTGTGTCAGATTGGTGTGAGCGTTGTGTGTGTGTTCAAGACTGATTAGACGGCGAGGGTGGTGGTGAGAGGGAAGGGAGGATTAGAGAGCCATCTGAGAGTTGGTTAGGTGCTGACACCACTCCACCTCACCAAGGGCTCAATTTACTGAGGGATCAGACTCATTTATGGTGGGCTGGGATTATTATCAGTTCAATAGGGCAATTTCTTTATTACAGTCACCCCTCAACCTGTAAAATATGGACACTTGTGAGACATTTACGGGTTCATGTATCTTGTTTCAGGTATAATCCACTACTTTTTCCTGTACAGTTAATTTTGTATTAGCAGCAGGTATAGCGACGGCTCTACCCTGTTTTAATGAAGTAATGTAAGTAATCAGAGAGGGGATTTAAGAAGGCTTCAGTGTCTATATCTTGAAGCTTTTTTAGGGCTCCAGACTGGATAAGACAGTCTGTGTTTGAGTTTGGATTTACTTGGAATGTTTACACTCAGCTGGTCCTCTGGATTGAAGCCCTTGTAATGCATTGAGCGTCACTCATCGGATTTTTTTTGATAGAGTTCACTGAGAAAACATCAACAACAGCAGAGCGATAGTGAAAAGAACGGAGCAAACATTTAGGTTCAAGACTCGAAGAAGATAAAGGCTGTACCACTGAATCAAGCCTGATGACCTGAGTGAGACCGACGACATCGCCATGCTTCACAGAGTTATTCATTTTTGTTAAGTGCATTCTGGCTCTTTGAAAAAAGCACCTAGAGGAAAATGATCTCACAATAACGTTTATTATTTAGCTGCTCTGAGGTTTTTGATCAGATCATATGAGCTTTCTCAGCAGATAAAGTTGCCCAGTTAAGACAATGTGGACTTTTAAGGACTTGTTGTTGTCCATAAAACTTCTTTTTCATAACGCTCTGTTTGTATATATACATTTCATAAAATACAAAGCATTACTATTAACTTCAATTCATTCTTTTTCACATAAGGGAACAAGTATTTGCTCTTCCAACAACCACATGTGCAGTGTATTGGAAATGACAGCTCAAAACTTTTAGCACAGTTAAACCTTTTTCTCTCTGAGTCAGAAAACAAGATTATTTGCATGTTGCATTTATATATTTGCACAGTGTACATTTTTATTTAAGCCACATCCAGTTCTCTTTATCTTAATGAAATAAATCTTAAAAGCTCAAGTATATGTTTGAAATTAAGTATGACACAAACCTGGAACAAATAAACAGACAGTATTTATTATTTTAAGTATTTCAGTGCTGGTGCAGAGGTGAGTACAAAAGAGAGAAGAAATCTCAGCTGAATATTCCTGAATCACAGTAAGTGACTCAAACAGTGGTCATTATACAAGCAACACGTAAGAAACACTCGTGTTCCACTGCCTAAACTCACGTTAGTTAATATTTACCGACTGAAATAAATCACAACTTCCTGCAGTGACTGACAACCTTTAGAAATGGAGCGTCTGTTAATATCGCGAGATTTAATCCGTTGGCGTGGGTGGATCACGTTGCTGCTTCCCGGGAAAAGAAACGTTTCGACTCAGCCAACTGTGAGGTCCGCACAAATAAAACCGCAATTTTTTAACTTGGTATTATAACAGCTGCACTTCAGCTCAGTCTAACATCGGTTTTCAGGTAACTGGCAGCTTTTTAAAAACAGTTTTATGTGCAGTGCTAAGCGCCCGCAATGTTTGGATGCTAACGCTAGCTCGCTAGTTAAGCGACATACCAGAAAAAAACAACGGTATTTTCGCCAAAAGAAAAAATGTCTGCGGAGCACAAGGCAAGCTGGATACTGACAGGCGCCACGGTCGCTTGTGTCACCGCTCTGTATGTGCCCTGTGTGCAGAGGACTGTCCCCGGTGGAGACTCAGGTTGGTGCTAACAGGCTAGCTAATGCTCATCTGGTCACATGGCTTTGTTGTGTTGCCTAGCAGCCAATCGCATGGCGGCTTGTTGAAGTAGCTGCTGCAGCTGCACTGGTGCTGTCCGTGGTGCTGCAGCTGCAGGTCAGAGACGCTCTGTATGAATACAGTAATATGTACTATCATAAATAATATGTTATGTGAATTATATACAATCTGTGGTGCAGGTACATCAGCTGTAGCTACATAAACTTTGATAACTTTTGTTGATTATTCATGAAGTGTGTGTAGTAATTGTATTGTTTTTACTATGTTGTCTAGATTTAATTTAATTTTGTTTAATTAGATTTACTCAAATTAAATGAAGCTAAATTTCCTCCTCAGACAACTGAGTTTGTTCTATCCATTTCTACAAATTAATTTTGACATGGTCTTTAAAAGATAACTGCAGTGCATTTGATTTTTTCTGTGTAGATAATAGGGGGCAACCAATATGTTTTTATATGTATATATTTGGAGCTGATATACATTCACAGGGAGAATTAGTTCTGTGGGGCAACATTTTTATTACCACAAACTCCAAAACAAAATATTGTTAAAACGCCTTAGTTTATTTATATTATTCATACATTTAATGAAAAGCAGCATTTATCTTTTAGCCTCGATAGGCTTTTACTCATGACATATAACCATCATATAGTCCTGTGGGCAGGACTTTCCTTCAGACCACAGAGTGGTGACAACAGACTGAGAGAGGCGGCTGCGTCAGAGCCAAAGTAGTAAATTAGCAGAAAGAATTTCATTGGCAGTCATTAAAAGAAAAAAATAAAATAAAACAATACAGATAATTGGGAAGATGAGGATTGGATCAATCGACATCTTGATAATCGATTGACCCCTAGTAGATAATGCCTTTGGTTGTGACAGTAGCATGCATGTGATTAGGGTTTCTTTGAAGTGTAACGTGTTTAAATGATACTCTGATGCTTCATGTATGTGGAATAGGGTATGAGCTTGAGCGTAACATTTTAATTTTAAAGCCTAATTTATTATAATGACATATAAAAGTACAGTTTATGCAGTGATGGTATTTATCTCAGTGTTGCTTTGTCCAAGTGACTCACTTTTAATTTCAGCCACTTTAAACTAAAGCAAAACATTCATCAATCATAAAGGTATATTTTCACACTTTCAGCAGAGCTTGTTTTTTCTTTTGATGCCACACAAATGAAAAATAGCAGAACATCATTTCTTTTGCTGACTGTATTAACATTGTGGGCAATATAGACACCATTTGTAATGACAAAACACTGCTGACAGCCATTGACTCACAAAATCATTTGGCTTGTATGTTTAAATTCAACATATGTGTGCATGCATAAATTCAATTTGGACTCTTCTGTAACTCAGCTTAGCAGTGGACCTGAATGCATTTCACTCAGTACCTTCCTACGTTGTAGGCCAATGTGTTTTCCCAACATTCTTGTAATGCAGTTTATGAGGGAATGCCTTGCACAATTACAAACAGTGTTTAGAAGTGATAGCAAGGTTACAAACTTGTAAATGTGGACTTGAGGGCATGGAGGCTCTGCTTGTTAGGGTTGCACTGCTCTGGCGTACAAGCCGCAGAAGGGAATGCATTTTTGCAGAATGAAAGCATAAGAAAAGCTCGGCCAGATAGGAGCGAGCAGAGATGAGGAGAGAGCAGGCAATTGGAGCGCTGAGTAGCCCTGCTGGTTGTGCTGCTGTCTAGCGAACAGGGCCTTTGAAAAAATGGCCAGCCCCTTCTCCACAGTGTTTAGGGACGGTGCAGGATGCCCGCTCTGATAGTGCCAGCTGAACACCCTTCCGAATTCTCCAGGTCTCCGTCTCTGTGTCCTAATCTCTTTAGGTGTGATGTGCCCTGGAGAGGCTTGAGCGCAGCCCCGCGGGTACGCTGTTGTCTAGGAATGTGGAGTGTGGAAATGATGGGGATTATAGGAAGACTGGTGTGGGTGCCCATGCTCCACAATCACAAAGACTCTTGGCACCCGTGCTGCTACCCCGTTGAGTCAATATTTTCCCTTTTTAGTATTGGGGCTGCAGAACTGCATCTCTGTGACACTGAGATGGATGTTTTGGCTTAGTATTAGTTTGAGTTTCTGTGTTGAATGGTGTAAAAGTGTGCCACTACTGAGGGAAAATGAGTGAAATTGAGAAACCGATGAAGGATGAGAAAGTGTGATGTAAAATGATGGCAGGTAGCTGGCGGCTCATGCCAGGTGAAATGGAGCTGTGAAAACATTTAAGCCGTGCAGGTGGAGGAGTTCTGACTTCATGGTCCATTAGACTGATAAGAGTTGGGGCTCCTCATGTGGCAGAAATTTAGGCATCGTAATTCACTGTATCAGCAAGGTTGCAAAATATGTGAGGCAGCCGGTGCCATCTGAAATCCAGCCGCTCTGTTCTATAACGGTTGGTGCTGCATCCTGGCCCGTGTTCTCGCTGTTCACATGTTTATTTTTAACATGTTAAACACTTACAGCTGCCGGTATTTAAAATAACCTGCTACGTTCTTGTTGTTGTTGTTTTCAGTGTTGTTCTATTTGTTGGGAACCAGTGTGATGAACACCAGAAAGCAATTCATTTGAACCCGCTGTGTGTTCTTGAGAGAAAAATTAATTTACCTTTTTAATGTGATTTGTTCTTCCTTCATAACATGCAGTGTTTTCATTCGCCTGGAATCCCGCATAGCTTGTAAATTAATAGACTCGTTTTCCCGTCAATGCTGATGCAAGAAACAAGGCCACTGTCTCCCTGGATGTGTTTGATGGAGGAGAAGACTACCCATCTCGTACCAGTAGAGGGAGCTGTCTTGAACCCAAACATTTATCAATGTCATTTAATCTGAACCAAATTTCAATTTTCATGAGTGGGAGATGCAAACATTGGGTGAGAAATCAGTCTAATTTGAAACGCTCTGGGTGTATTCTGGCACAAATGGGTTTGTGCCCAGATACATTAAAGCTTCCTCAAATAGCTTTTAGGGGTTTTCTTTTCACTTTGTGCTGCGCCTCACACAGAGCTTGTCAAAAAATTGTGCAGCCGGCTCTTATTTTTACAGCTTACCTCATTCTGAGACTGTCACCAACGTAGCCTTTCTGTTTGTGCCCAACGGACTAAACGAGACACTGAGACACTGGCAGTGTGGGAGCAGGAGAGAGGCACGTAGAGGAGCAGAAGAAAGAGGAAGGGAAAGGACCCTGATGCATGCATGGGGAGGATGGGACTGGAAGCATTATTCTCAGATCAGCATATGTGTGTCTTTGTGTGACAGAGTATTGGTGAGGGAGTCTAATGGTTTGTGTGTGTGTGTGTGCGTGTGTGCGTGTGTGTGTGTGTGTGTGTGTGTGTTTGTATCTGTGTGTATGTGCGGGAGAAGGGAGGGAGGCATCAGGGGAGAAGCGAAAGATGAAGAGAATGAGCGTGCCGCTTAGGAAATGTCACACTGGGAAGATTTGCAGGTTTTGATCCTAGCAAATTAATGCAAAACCCCAGTGCAAGTATTTGATTTGGGAAAACTTTGGGAGCAGACTTGTCTCTTAATAATAATTATTGGGTTTACATTAATTTCCTCCCCTATTCTCTTCCACAGGAGAGCTGATCACCACTGCTTGTGAGCTGGGGGTAAGTATTAGCTGTATTGTTTAATCAATTCACTCATTAACTCTTATAAGCATTAAGGAAGTTTAATTAAGCATGGGCAGAAAGCAGATTAATTTACTTTCAGTCCACAGGTTTTTTCCCCTTCTTTTCTATACACTTATTTTACTAAGTTGCAAGTAGAGAATGCTATAATTTGCAACCCGTTTTTCAAATCCAATTAAAGTCAATGGTAAGGCGATGGCTTTTGTAGGCTTTGCCTTATGTACGGTATAAGGCTTATTATATCCACCCCTCTTTTTTGTGTGTGTGTGTAAGCCGCGAAGAATGAACTAAATCGGGTTAACAGTTATAATAAGTTTTATTATTTAATAAAGTTTATTACGCCGCTGTGATCCTTTTAGGGAGGCTGTGTCGGTGTCACTATGCCAGTAATCCTGCCGTTAGTGCTGCAGTCCGTGTGGCCTGCCTGTCTGCCTTTCAGGCCTCCCCAGGGCCTTGCAGGCCATCCCAGGGCCCCAGGCTGCTGGCCCCCCCTTCTGATCCCCAGAGCTCCAGAGTTCTGCTTCCCTTTGCTCCCTGTATCCCTCAGCTGTCCTGTAGCTGCATCCGCTCGTGTCGGCCGCACAGTCCTCCCTCATGTTCATCACCTATCAGTCTGATGCTGCCACTGAGTTCACCAAACTGTCTTCTGTCAAACTGTCTGCTCGAGTTTTTTTGTTTGTTTTCTTGTTTACTTCTTCTCTTTTGCTCCTCGGCTTATTTTGACATACATTTTTCAGCCACGCTTTCTCGCCCAGGTTTGGTTAAAGCTGTTTGTATGCCTGAACATAGCCACAGAGACTTTGCTGTGTTTGAGGTGACTGGTGAGGCAGTCACATTCTCACCTTTCAGCTCTATGCTCATTTGAAGAGCTGCCCCTTCTCCCTGCCTGCATGGTTCATGTTATCAGTGCCAGGGAATGAGTCTGTGTTTAATGACTGAGCCCTTATCTGGGTGGAGGAGACTTAGCGGCTAATTGCTGTGATTGCCGAGATCCCCCAGGCGAGAGTGACTGCGGCTCTGAGGTGGTTTGGAGGGCTGAGGCAGGCGAGTACCACGTGCTTTACCACGGGCTCTGGGGAGCTGCACTGTCCTTGGGAAGAGGCCAGAGGAAAAGAAGTGAGAAGAGAGAGGGGGGAAGAGAGGGAGAGGAGGGCTTCTGCTATCATGGCAAAGTGAGCTTGCGGTCAGGCCAGGCGGGATGTGTCTCACTCTGCTCCATTTCTGCAGCTATGTAGCATGCTGCTGCTGGCATCTAGTGAGGGCAGAGGGGCAGTTATGAAGGGCTGCCGACAAATGTCCTCCAACATCTGCTTTCCTCCTGGGCTCTGTAAAAAAAAAGTAAATAAGATGTCAAAGCATAACACATGCATGTTCTCCATCTCAGTCTGCTGCCCCCTCAAGCACATTATCAGGTTTATATGCTGTGAATTTATCTTCTGTTTAGTGTCTTGTAACCTCCTTTTTTTGTGTACTAAGGTGGCCCATCCTCCAGGATACCCACTCTTCACCCTCCTAGCTCGCCTGGCTATGTTTCTCCTGCCCTCGCTCTCTCCAGCCCACAGCGTCAACCTGATGAGTGGCCTCCTGGGGGCGGCGGCTTGTGGTGGACTCTGCATCACGGTCTGCAGGTAGGCATATGAAAATATATGCTCTGATGATTGGCTTCTATGATGGACCCAGAAGTACCCGTCTCAAACTGGGAAATGCAGAGGAGCCTTTTAGTGACTAACACACATCAATGCAAGTAACAATAAGACATTTTTGAGTGGCGGGGGTCTTTAAACATTCCCCTACTGACTTTCTGCATCTTGATGCTGTCTGGAACAGAGAGTGGTATTTTTGGGTCCTGACTGACAGGCGGTGGTGTCCCTGATCCTCTGTTCAGTATTCAGGAGCAGAGCCCAGCCGCCCTCCTCCCTCCCACCACCCTGCCCTGCCTGTTTACCCATCAGCCACCCGTTGCGAGCGTGCGTGTATGTGTATGTATATCACAATTATCGTGCCCTCCAACCCCCAACTCTGACGTCCCTGTTCTCCTGCCCCCCCACTGCCCAGCATGCTCCCAATCCTGACATGGCACGATTTCTAATCTCCCCCCTTCTTGCCTCCTGGGTCTGAGAGGAACAGGATCACTAACTCTGCTCCTCCCTCTCCCCCCTCTCTCTTCAACCACCTCTCCCCCTCGCTCAGCCGTGAACACAGTCTACATCTCTGCAATGCCATCTACCACCCTGCAGTTTCGCCTGCTGCTGACCCCATCATGTAAGGAGTATTTTACCCCTTCCTGCTTTGTCTGTGTGTTTATCTCGCATGGTTGGCCGGACTACCTTACATCACCCTTTCGCTGATCTTAGTAATTTTCCGCATTGCTTTGTTGGTGGCAGCTTAGTGTCAACATTTTGCCTTTTTGTCACAGTTTGTGCATACTGGGGCATTTCCAAGCACGTCATATACTTCTAATTTACTACGTCCAGAATAGGAATTGTTGAATATGATGTAATTTCTTCCTGCTGTACACCTTGGCAGGCTCTGAGGACCCAGCGATAGTGATAGTGGAAGTGTGTGCGTTCCCAGGTGCGCAGTGCTGGGCCGACTTCCTGTGCGCTTGGCCACTGTGTGCTAGATGGCAGGCGGTCTGGAGAAGGTCAGGGTACAGGGTCAGGCCTGCTGGAGTAGGGCAGGGGCTGGGGAGGGAGTGCACCCCAGGGGACTGGCCCTGAGCCCAGACTGCATCAGCCTTAGACACTGCCCTGCATTATTGTTACCTTAGAGGTGAGTCAAAACCGGCCACCTTCTGCCACTCTGCACAACTCAAGACAAGAGAGGTAACGAATACAAATAGCGTAAGAAAGGGAACAAGCACCGCCACGTCTTTCGGATGTTTTGACTGCGTATCCCTACCGCCACCCTAATCTCAATGCATTTGATGAGCCACCAGTCAATTGGAGGATTGGACTCAGCCCTTGGCGAGACATTTACAGTTATTTTGAGGCCAGAAAATATCCATGCAGTCTGGGGTGATATTTGGCTCCCAGTGTGCATGTTAACTGTAGCCATGTTTGTAATCTCTGGGGATTTAGATCCAGTTGTGGATTATGGTCAAGTAAAAAGTCATTATGAAGAGCTGCAGCCACACTCACCCCCTCAACTGGGGTTGATGGGTAGCCAGGACTTCAGCCAGAGCACGCAGTCACACCATATAAGCTCTTAAGTGTGAATTTATAATCTATGCTTTCAATTTGGGGAAAAATAAGCATAAAAGGTTTTAGTCATTATCTGTTCAGGGCCTAGTTTGGGATGAGCTGCGAGGTTGTGGATCAGCTGGCACACATGGCCTAGTGACGGGTTACTGGAGAGGGGAAAGGTGAGGAGGGAGAGAGGATCGGGAGAGGGTTTCTGGCTGGTCAAGACCTCCCTCTTGGTTCTGGCATGGAGGGCGTCGAGTGCTTTCACCATATCAAGAATATTGGCATAGATGTCATGCCACAAAGGCCAGGCCTTTCCCTCAGATGAAATGCCAAAGCTGACCAGTTGATACCTGTTCCTATCTGCTCTGCCCTTGCCGTGACACTCGTTCCCTGTGTCTTTTCCCCACTTAATTAAATTCTGAAATGTCTTTTGTTGTTTTTGTCCCTTTGTGGCCCTCATAAACTTTTCCACTGTTTCTTATTTTTAGGTTTTCAGCAGCTCAGAAGTAGCAACCCCCCCCTCACCACCACCACCCCCATCACCACCACCACCACCACCCAAACAAATCATTGCTTTGTGTGATTATGTTCAGATGGCAAAATATATTGAAGTTAATACGGGTACTTGAAGGCAGTTTCTCTCAAATAATAAATTGTAAGACCTTGAAATTCATCTGGAATATACCCAACATGGCAAGCCTTTGATGTATCAATTTAAATTAGTCGGCCAGATTGCCGTGTTTAATGTGGGGGAATGTAAGTTGATAGGCTTGGAAGCCACTTCTCTCTCTTGCATAAGTTTAAATGTAGCACTTTAGCCTCCCTTTGATTTGTCAATTACAGTTCTCTTGGCTTGATCATATGGTTTGATGGCCAAATTGCATGTCTTGTTATGTTTTCACACCATGGCCTGACAAGCCTTTGAGGATGGTGGACGTAATGATAATTACTATCGATTGCACTTGGAGGTTCAGAGAAAGAAACATTTGGCTCATGGAAATGCTAAAGGCCTCAGCCGTGAGTCTCTGGAGGAATGCACCCTTCATAGCGGGATAATCCAGACAGCTCGGTATTCTGTGCTCTCTCGTTTCACAGTTTATCTGCTAAAGCTGCTCTGAATCTCTGCTACCTGAGAGGAATCTCTCTCCATTCCCGAGCTTATCCTGAGAAACCAGGAGCAGACACGTTAGCGTGCTGACAGCCATCACAGCAGAAAAACAACCTCGCAACACTCAGTCATCAGCACTTTCGGTGCGATCACATGATTACGTAACAGGCCTGCTGAAGCACACCAAACGTGTCTGGCCTCCCTTCTCCCTGGCGGCCCTCAAAAGAAAACGCACACCTGCGAGAGGCTCCCCCGCCAAGAGCTGGCCCATGTGGCACATCTGATACCTCAGTGGACGGGAGGGTGGGCGTGGTGCCATCCCCTGCCTTGTGCTGCATCCCCAGCTCCTTATAAGGACCTCCACCATATGGTCCTGATGGCGCTTTCCCGTCTTGCTCAGGTGGGTTGTTTTTCCACAGGGGTGTGGTTGTGTGTATCGTGTTGAGGTCAGGTCAGGAGCAGTGCGTGTGCGGGGGGTTTGTTTTTTTGCGACAATTTGTGTAGTTTAATTTGTATACAACAGCCGAGTGGAGTTGTTTTGTTGGATGATGTCTTCACCTCTCCCTGTAGGTGGCGAGGCTGCCCCTCCTTCTCACATCTGCTACGCTCGGATAAAAATCTTCATCCCAAGTGGCAATAGAGAATACACCCATCACTGTTTCCTTCTGAAAATGTAGAAGACAATTTTAAGTTTGTCTGTTTAAAAGGCCCCAATCTCTGGACCTTTTGTTCCTATTCTGCACTATCTCATCCGTCATATTGTAGTCCAACAGACCTCTTTTACTCCCCCCCATCCTCAGCATGACCAATGGTTCCCCCAGGACTCATCCTCTAATACAGTTAAACAGATGTCTAATGAAGATGTTATTTCCTCATTACTGGCTACGGGATGGGGATAGAGAGGAGGAGGGAGGAGGGCTAGATAGACAGCAGAATACAGTACCAGTTTAATATTCCTTTCGCCCGTGGGCCTGAGATTGTGTCTGCCTCGGACGTCAATATTACATTCCTCACCCACCACAGGCAGTCTTAATAAGGCACCAGGCACAGAGACGGATCAGACTCGGCAATTACAATTCACCCAGAATTAGTTAATGGAATCTATACAGCAACATTTATGTATCACTGGTGTGTGCCTAATGACTTTGTTGGAAAAGGCAGCAATAAAAAATGGCATTCAGTGAATTGCATAAACACAGGATTTTTGTAAATTGTTTTTTTCCCCTCTTCCTGTAATTTTTGTGTGTTGGGTGGAGATTAAGATGGCATTCTGGGAGAAATTGTCATGTCAGTGGCTGCATTGTTTGTGCAGAATTGTGGTGATTAATTTTACACGCACTTGTAGCTCTGGAGCGCTCTCCTGGAGGAGGGGTGTCTGAGCGGCAGAGCCGGGACCCTTATTTACCCTCCGCTGTGCAAACAGACAGCCTCGTCTTCGCACGCCGGATGAGGCAGAGAGGACAGGGAAGTTCCCGGTTTGGTGATTGGCTGAATTTGACTGTGGCTGTAAATATGAAATATTCAAATATATAGTTTTGAAAGTCAGTCAATAAAAAAAAGACAGGATTAGGGCTGGACAATGCAGAAAATAAATCAAAAAATGTTGTAGATTTTTCTTTTTTTTTCATACTAATAATGCGAGGATATTTTGATCATGGCTGTTTATTCTTACAGAAGATAAATTCACACAAAATATTTTGGAAAATAAAAACATAGGATTCAAGTAGTAGAAGCATTCAAAATTATATCAATAACATATCTATTAAAAGACAGTGTAGTACGGCAGAAATTAATGTTTAGGTATTTATAAGAATGTTTCCCTGATATCAACATGTAACACAGTGGGTGTTTAATGCCTAATTACACACATCCTAATGAAGACAATTATATGAAATATCATGCTGCAACCGATCATATTGTTTTTTTTGTTACAGTTTGCTTTT